ATTTGGTTATTCAACGCATCATACTTACGGTCCATTTGACATCACTGCGCTGTTTAATTCTGTAGCAGATTTCTGGTTTGAAGGAGATCCACCAATCACATCAACTCAATCAGACTTCTTATTCGTAATTTTGCACGAATTAATTCATGGTCTTGGATTCACATCAAGCTGGGACGACTATTTAAACGACATTCCAGAAGCACTCACGCCCGATCTTGGAAGCAGTACAACGAGTAGCGGAAAAGAATATCAATTTATAGAATACGCGTTCGATCAGTACCTCGTAATAATTCCTCAGAACAAAAATATGACAAGTTACGCCTCTCAAGAAAATCTTTATTCAATTGGAGTCGGCAGCAAATATTCAAACATCGATGAATTTGCTCAGGGATTTGTGGATTCACAGCAATATAATGTCGCAAAAAACTTGTTTACTTATGCTGTCACGGCAAACGCTATGGGATTCTTGCCATCGGGCACGAACAATCTGAAAGATGCCGTTATACTTGAGACTAGTCTTAAACCGTATCAACAAGGGTCAAGTATAAGTCATGTGTCTTACACAAAATACACAAATACTAGTGATTTCTTGATGCGGTTTTTACAGGATCGTGGAGTATCATTGGAGGATGCTATACTTGCTGGTGGAAATTATTCAGGCGGTCCGATTGGGCCAAACTTAAAATTAGTTTTAGAAACTTTGGGGTATGTGTTTCCCGTAAGATTATATTACGTACTCATCGTTATCGAAATAAGTGTTAATATTAATTCGTTTAATTTAGATACGCGACACAAGATAATCCAAATCCCTATCGCCCACTTCCCGCTAACTCAACAACTAATACATTAACCTCCACATCCGATGCTCCTATGTCCAACTTATTTTACTCCAGCATGAGAATGCAATCGGTAATATCGATCATAGCGATGTTCTTTGTTTGCTATATTACACGTGATATAAGCATACTGTGAAAATAAGAGCTTGTTTTTTATGCAAGAGTTTGGTGGAACGACTTACCCTCACACGAGCGCAGAATGACTGGTGATTGGATGGATTATTTGGTTTCATCGCCAACTTCTCATCTCTTATTCTTTGTTGTTTCTCTCTGATATCTTTATCTCACGAACAATCTTCTACAAAGATTCCTATTCTTTACTAAAGTGCTTCAAAATGATTTACTTTTTTTGATGTATCGTTCTCTATGTATAATATCTATATATTATTAGTATTTATTTATTCCATTTAGTAGATTGTATTAAATTCATTACAAAAATTCATCACTTTTTGCATTTTTCACTTCTTCACCTTTACCGTTAACTAAGTCAATTTTCAAATAAAAATGATCATCTTACGTTTATTAATATAAAACTAGTTTTGAAAATTCAATCGAGTAAGAAATAAAATAAAATCCAAAACAAATAGAATGTTGAAAACAAGATGCCAAATTATCCACCCAATTAATCATTTTTTGTACACAAAGTAATATGATCTAACTTAATGTTTGCGAACACCAAACAGTGCCAATAGAGAACCAAAAAATTTTCCAATCATTCCTCGATTAACTTCGGCCTCTTTTGCTGCGCGTTCCTCGTGTGTTTCGACATACGATTTAAGTTTCGCTTCTTCATTACCGTTCATAGACACAGAAGGTGTTGTCGTTGTTGCTGTTGTTACTGTAAGCGATGGAGATGTCGATGTTGATGACATCTCAATCGCACTCGGTGAGTCAACAACACTTTTATTTGCAACCATTGCTCTATCATTCTTTTTATTTTCAATAATAGGTTTGGTGTTTTTATCATCGTAATCAACTAAGGTACCACTACTAAGCGCCTCTAGTCCAGACGCGAATTGACCGGCCGCGCTATACTTTTTCACGAATTCCGTCAATTCCTAAAAGAACATATTTTGCAGGTGTAACATGATGGTTAAAATTTATCCAACTATACATATAATAAAGCC